AGTATAGACAGAGAGAGTGTATTTGAGTGCATTGAAAGATATCTTTCGAGGCTAGAAACATGGAAAATTGAAGATCTGTTAGGATAAATTTAAGTGTTATAAGAAAAATAGAATTGTGAATTTTTAATTTTTGAGATACTATAGACAGAAAGAGAAACTTTTTAAACTTTTTAACAGAAAAAGTGCAGCATTGTAATTTCACGTTCAAATTTATATTTGTTAAAAACTAGGCAAGCAATTGAAAAATTGTATTCTAAGTGTACACTCCTTACTTATTTTCTCTGTAAGGAATTACTTTATCGATTTATCGAACACCCTTATATTCAGTGATACAAATCATGCACGATGCAGTAATGCTAAAAATCACTTTGTTACAAAAATAAAAATCTCAGTTTAACTGGAAGGATTGAACAAAGATTAAATTTTCTACATTTAAAAATTACAAAATACAAAAATTAATAAATTTCAAATAAGCAAAGTCAGTTAATAATTAAATTCATTTTTATCTACAGCAAACTAGTTCATCGCGTATTTTAATTTACCCTGTATATTGTCACCATTCTTCCATTACTAATATCAATTTAGAAATATAATTCAAACTCGTATCGACATTTCTACTACTTTCACGATGGTTCTATGCGAGTTCCTTTTTCATTCACGATTCGAAAAATTCCTTTGTAGCCAGAAAAAAAAACCGGTGCAAATCGACGTGTCCCGTTGGTTTTATCACGAAAATGTAAATTACTTTCGGATCATGTATATCCCGGTAAAACCAGCATTAAACTTTACGCACGAACTGCAGTTTACATAATCAGAACTCTGAAACTACTTTCCCTATAAACAATGTTATTTTCCTTCAATTTTATACTCCCCGATGCTTGGTTTTGGTAATACCAGAGGAAGTTTCATTGGACATCTTTGTTGCTGCTGTATGCCGCCGCGAGGAAACGCATTAACACGAAATTCTATGAAACACGAGTTCACAGAGTTCGTAATGTGTGCAAGATTCGAGAGTTTA